TGTAACTGTGGCGCCAAGAAATGCCGGAAGTTCCTAAACTAAAGCTGCTCTTCTCCCCCAGTGCTGGAGTACTAAGACTCAGGGCCATCCAGAGCCATGCTGAAGGTCTTTGCCAGCAGCTAGTTCAGGATTGAGTGGTCAGTTGAGGGGCCTCCATGATGGCTGAGCTCCCTTATGTCCCATATTCACATTATACGTGTGATAATAGTCCTGGAGAGAGATAAGGTCTCAAAGAAAAGATCTGATCCACTTTTCACTGGGGCCTTCTGATTATATGCTGTTAAAAAGTAGGAAATGGGGTCCCTAGTAGATTTGCCTGGAAGGAGCTATGGGTTATTTATGTTGGGAGATTTGGCCTGAGCATCTCCTAAGAGAAAAGTTGCCATCCTCTCCTTAGCCTTTTCCCAAGCACTGTAAGCAAGGAGTCAGGCAAAGCCCCAAATATAGGGTTGGTTGGATACCCGATGGTTTGCCAGCCAGGCCCAGCCTGTGGCCCTCTGTTGGACAAACAGAGGTCTGGTTGTTTTCCCATACTATCTTCCTACTTGAGAATTTACTTCTACTTGGAAAACAGGATTCTTAGCATCTTTGACATCAAAAAGCTGTCTTGGGGTTGTGCCAATTAATTACCAAACATTGAGCCTGTGGGCTTTTAGTGGGAATATTATCCCATGAGCCTTATTTCAGCCAATTACCTTTCTTGCTAATAGGAGCAGCTTCCTTCTCATTCCTTCTCTTCACTCTACTTCTTTGTTTTCCCTGTTCTTCATCCCACTGCTTTCCCATCCTGGGTGGTAGGAGACAGTGACCCCCTGCTCAAGGACACTGCCTACTGGGCATATCATGTACCTATGGAAGCGTTCCCTGAGCCTGTGAGCACCCCTAGTGGGGAAATGGACAGGAGCCATTGGCCAGAACCAGACAGAATCAGTTTTCGTAAAGCTCCACTAAGAATTTTAATGAAATATATGTAGCATGATATTTTAGAAGAAGAAAAGATCATTTAAATAATTGAATCATGCCACAACCAGAGTATCACAACCAGGATGACCTCTGGGCACCATTCTGAGGACAAGGTGACTTTATTTTCCTGTTCTTACGACATAGGAAGACTTAATTTTTAAATGGTCAATTTCCAGTTGAAGGCACAACACTAATCAGATTTCCATGCCCAAAACTTGGGGAGTAGACCACCTAGTATTGAGGGAACTCTGCCACCTATGCAAAATCCATGGATAAAGTAAATTAAATGACACTACTGCCCTGATTACTCCTTAGGATGTGGTCAGAACATCATCAAATATTTCTTCTTTCCCTTCCCCCAAGATAGTGTCCTGAAGCTGTTAAATTAAGTCATTGGATTTTACTCTGTTCTGTTTACAGTTTACTATTTAAGGTTTTATAAATGTAAATATATTTTGTATATTTTTCTATGAGAAGCACTTCATAGGGAGAAGCACTTATGACAAGGCTATTTTTAAACCATGGTATTATCCTAATTTAAAAGAAGATTGGTTTTAAATAATTTTTTATTTTCATAGGATGAAGTCAAAAAAAATACTCAGCTGTACACACAAAGTCTGGTTTTTCCTGCTCAACTTCCCCATGGAAGGTGTACCTTTTGTTGTTTAATGTCTAGTTTCTTTGCCCTGTTGACATAAAAGTATATCCTAGGTTTGCTCTTTGACAATAAATAGAAAAGGAAGGTTACCCAACTCCATTGGATTGCTCCTCTTCTTTCCCACACTCTTTCCTTTTCTGTCATTAGCTCAGAGTGGTGAGAGGTGGTAATGTATTTTTGCCTCATCTGTCCTACTTCAGAGTTAGCAACCAAGTTGAATGACAGCCTGACAGTTCCATTACCATCTGCCTCATAGATCACCTTGTTCCCTTTCCTCTACCCACCAAGTCCTCATTAGCTGCGAAGAATCCACAGATCCTCCGGTGCCCCGTTTTGGGGCAGCCTGTTGAAACTGAAGCACAGTCGGACCACTCATAATAAAACAAGGTTTCAGAGCAGCGTAGTCCAGTGGAGGCAAGACAGCCTTTTCTCCACAGGAGAAGTCTGTTTCTATGGAAGTCTGGCAAAGCAGTATGACCCAGCACAGCGCTCTGCTCCAGGACTCATGGTTCTGCTGTGCTTTCCATCCTGGGTTCCCTGTTCTTCCGTGTCCTTAAGAACTTTGTTTGGTGGCTTTCCTGGAACATTGTCACTGTTTTTACTGGCATGCAGGGAGCACAGCACTGTGGCCAGGATGGCAGAGACTTCCTTGTTCGTGGAGAAGTGCCAGCAGGGGACTGGGGAAAAGCACTCTGCCCAGACCTCACCTCCCTTCCTCCTTTTGCCCATGAACGAGACATGGTGGCTCTAGGGGTTCCACTATTGTCTGGTTTCCTTTATTGCACTGTGTGAGATTTTTTTTGTAAATCCTTTTATTCATTTTCCACCCAAGAAAAAACCTTAAGCTGCATTTGTTACTGAAATGATTAATGCACTGATGGATCATGAATTCACCTTGAGAAAGACCCAAGGCCAGTCTAGGGGTGGGGGAAACTCAGCTAAACTGACCTAGTTACTGCCCTGCTAGGCCATGCTGTACTGTGAGCCCCCCTCCCCATCCTCTTTCTACCAGTCCCAAACCCTGAGGCCAGGGAAGGAGCCCACATCTTTCCTTCTGCCAGCTGCAGATGGTTTGCCTTGCCTTTCCACTCCCTAATTGTAACCACAGAAATGAGAAATTCCTCATTACAGCTCAGCCTTGAGTTTATTGCCAAAATTCAGCATACCTGCCAACACCTTGGGAAATGAGCTAAGGTTTCCCTACAAGAAGGAAACAAGGTAGCAGTGCAGACTGAGGAACTATGGTGGGTCATTCCTAAGAATACCCCAAAGGGGCACTCCAAATCCCTAAGGAGTAACAGGCTGCAAACCTGGTCAGTTCTCAGTGAGAGAATCAGCTCCCTTACAGCTTTGCTGCTAGAACCTGTTACGGCTGCATTTCCTGGTGGCCAGTGATAACCGTGTAACCAGAATAGCTGCATGGCGCTGACCCTTTGGCCAGAACTTGGTCCCTTGGTTCCTGCTATGTTACTGTCCACCACCCCCAGCCCAACCACTCCTGTTTTTAGACCAATAACAAGAATTAAAGGGGAAACCCTGGCAGCTATATATGTTTTTAGCCAGACTCCTTTGCCGGGATCCAGTCCACTACCCTGCTTGCCTTTGTCAAATCCCCGGCCAATGCGGTGAGCACCATGCAGCTCCCTTGATTTAAAAAAAAAAAAAGACAAAAAAAATAATCTTTCGATGAATGTATCTTTCTAAAGGACTGATGTTCAATCAAATATCTGAAAATACTAAAGGTCAAAACCTTGTCAGATAACTTTTTGATTTGGGACTTTTAAATAGGTTTTTTGTTGTTGTTTTTGTTTGTTTTTTTAAGAAAAAGCGGGTCATTGCAAAGGGCTGGGTGTAATTTTATTTCATTTCCTTCATTTAAAGCAATACAAGGTTATTGAGCAGATGGTTTTGTGCCGAATCATGAATACCAGTCAAGTCTCACGCTCTGAAAACTTGCAACTTTTTGTTTTGGTTTTCAAATAAATATAAATATATATATAGGAACTAATATAGTAATGCACCATGTAACAAAGCCTAGTTCAGTCCATGGCTTTTAATTCTTTAACACTATAGATAAGGATTGTGTTACAGTTGCTAGTAGTGGCAGGAAAATGTCAGTCTGGCACTTCTCTGACCTGAAATGGAGAAACCCAAACCGTGAAGGGATGGTGGACACAGCCTGTTCCTGGGGTCAGAAAGAAATGCAGAAGTGGTGTTACCTGGGTCTTTTTTCTGCCAGTGAATGTTGCCAGGCAGTGTCTGTACTCCTTGTTCTTTATTTTTGGTTATGAATGTTGGGGTTACCACCTGCATTTAGGGGAAGATTGTGTTATGTGCTTTCCTGGTATCTTGTTCCAAGGTACTCTAGTTCTGTCTTTCAAACAAAATAGATTTGTGATGTTACTTTCATTGAACTTTTAACAGTCTCTTTAGTAAATACAGGTAGTTGAATAATTGTTTCAAAAGCTCAACAGATAACAAGCTTCTTTTTTAGAAATAGGACATTTCTTGACAACTTTATCATGTATAACAGATCTTTGGTTGTTCTTTTCCCCCTGTGTTCTTCCAAGTTTCTGGTTAGAGAAAAAGAAAAAAAAAGGAAAAAAATATGTGTCTAAAATCCATCAGTGTTAATAACTCCCTGTGGCAGGGATGAAGGAAAATAACTTTAATAGTTCAAAAAATAATAATGCTGAAAGCTCTCTACGAAAGACTGAATGTAAAAGTAAAAAGTGTACATAGTTGTAAAAAAAAAAAAGGAGTTTTTAAACATGTTTATTTTCTATGCACTTTTTTTTATTTAAGTGATAGTTTAATTAATAAACATGTCAAGTTTATTGCTGCTGCATATGGTGGAGCTTTCTTTTGGTATTGCTGGGGTGGATAGATGGAGGAGAGGTGTGGCCTGTAACCTGATTATAGGGGACCTTCCACAGTCCTTTAAGTTGAAATAATTAAATCATTCTTCATTGCCTTCCACACTGGCTCTCTTAACCGAATTTTCTTCCCTTATCAATGATGTATATTCGGGACCTGATTAATTCTGGATATGAAGATGGGCTCAAGAAGACAAAGGAATAGTTCCTTTACTGCCTACATTCTTCCCTCCTAGAAGCAGTTGTTTCTAGGGATTTTCTCCCAGTCTGTGAATGTAATAAAAGCTTTTAAGGGAGAACCTGGACAGCACCTTCTCTTTGCTCTACTCCACCTTAAGGCTGAAATTGGATTTATTTACTGTTTCTCCTAGGACTGGGGTACTGGTGGGGAGGCAGTTGAGAAATACCTGTAAATGTTCTGCCAGGCCAGGGTCATTAACCTCTGGCCAAAGGAGGTTGAGTTTACACTACAGCCAAAAGAATGGAAGACACTCCTCTTCATGGGGGATGGTTCTCAACCTCTCTCTAGATCAATTGGTTGTGAAGCTCGGTCACCACCCACCACTTTTTCCTCCCTCTCTCATCCTGAGTCACCTTTTTGGATTTTTGTAGTTGAGCATTATGGGGACTCTAAATGATCAGGCAGTATTACAGGCCATCTTCAACCCTGACACCCCGTTTGGAGACATTGTTGGGTTGGACCTGGGAGGGGAAGCTGAGAAAGAAGTAGAAGGTGAGTGTTTGACCTTGGACTATAGCTCTCCACATTGGCTGGTGTGCAGGCATCCCTGGGGAGGCAGAAGGAATGGTCTTCTTCATTTGCGGTGTGTGTGTGTGGGGGGGGGGGGGTCTTCCAAAGTCCCTTGTGTGTTCCATGCCCCTTGGGCAATGATTGAGATTGGAATTAAAGATTGGCTGTACCTCAGTGTATTGATGGGGGGTTGGCAAGTCACTCTGCCAAGAAGAGAGTCAGGGTTTGTTTCAGTCCTTTTGTCCCCACACATCTGAACTTACCTTACCACTTAATTCTCTCTGTGATCTAAGCCTAACTATTGACATGTAGGAGGGCGACATTAAACTCTCCCATGTTTGTTAAAACAGAATGTCATCCCACAATGGAAAAGGGCAGGGCATGTTTCCAACCTAAGCAAGCTTTCAGTGTTACTATTACAAGCCAAGCACTGAGTCAGTCCTACAATGAGTGCACTTTGTGTTGGAGCTAATATAGTAGAACAAAATGGAGACAGGCTAAGGACCCAGAAAAACCTGGGTTCAAATCCAAGCTATGCAGCTTACAGACTGTGACCTTGAGCAAGTATTTTAGCTACAGTGAGCTTTACTCTCTTGATAATGGGGAGCTAACCAAGGTCCCCTTCCCAGATCTCTTTGTGACTTAGGCAGTACCAGCTCTCAGCCTTAGTGACCTCAGGTCCCCTGCCCCAAATACTGTATCTGACTCCTGTGTCCTATTCCTCAGCCCAGTAAGTTCTGACTCAGGTTTCTAAAGCCTGAGGTGGCTTTTGCTTCTTGCCCCCAATTGCACATTCTCCTGGCTCCCTCCTTGGCACAGATGGAGTTTTCCCTCAAGCACAGCTGGAGCAGTCCAAGGCCTTGGAGCTGCAGGGAGTGATAGCAGCTGAGTCTGGTGATCTCAGCACAGCACTGGAGAGGTTTGGCCAAGCCATCAACCTGCTGCCTGAGAGGGCATCAGCCTACAACAATCGAGCCCAGGCCCGGCGACTCCAGGGAGATGTGACAGGTGAGGCTAGATGCTCTGGACCCTCTGCAGAAGAGGCCCTGGAGTGCACAGACCAGAGATGAAGTGGTGGACCTGGGGAATGGGGTGGGGAGCCATTAAACCCCTCTGGAATCTGCATTCTTACCTATAAGATATGGGCCCTGCTGATCTCTTGGGGATATTAAGAAAGTCAGAATAGACTGTATTCCATTTATTTATTTATTTAACATTTAATGGGAATCTACTATTGTGGCAATGGGCCAGGTGCTGAGGACACAAAAGATACAGCAGTTAGGGAACATTACATGTCATCTGTCATAACTAATTTAATCTTCACAACAATCCTGAAAGGTAGGTACTATTGTTATCTCCATTTTATAGATGAAGAAACAAGCATGGAGGTTAGGTAGCTTGTTACTCGTACAGCTGAGAAGTGGCAGAGCTGGGATTCAAACCAGGTGGCAGTGCTCCAGAGTAATACTGCCTCTCACATCCCTAGGAGGTAGGACAGACACATGATTATAATACCACCATGACAGGTTAGAAGGGATCTGCTTCTGAAGGATGAATTTTGAAGGATGAGTAGGAGTTAGCTGGATGGAGGGGAAGTTGGGAAGGAGTCTATAGAGGTCCAGAAGGCATGAAAGAAAGGTACAGGGAATTTCCAGTCTCCAAGCTGACTGGAACAGGGAGAGGAGGAAGTGTGCTAGGGCCTAGAGGTAAACAGGAATCACAAAAGGATTGTTTTTGTTTTTTTTTAAGATTTTATTTATTTTTAGAGAGAGGGGAGGAAGGGAGAAAGAGGAAGAGATACACCAATGTGTGATTGCCTCCTGTGTGCCCTCCACTGGGGACCTGGCCTGCAACCCAGGCATGTACTCTGAGAATTGAACCAAAGGCCCCTTGGTTCAGAGGCTGGTGCTCAATCCAAGCCACACCAGCCAGGGCTCACTGAAGGGTTTTAGCTGGGCAGTGACTGGATCAAACCTACCTCATTGTGGTAACTAGCTGAAGTGGGGACCATGGGACAAAGGGAGCCAGCCATGCTGGGAACCAGAGAGCAGGTCCATCAGTGATGTAAACCACAGAAGACTAGTAGGGAACTACTAGACTCTTAACACTTGGTGGTGGAAGTACCCTTGGGACCGGTAATGCCAGACTGGAGAGTCTGGACTCCATTATAGGAACAGTGGAGAACCTCAAGGGCCCCTTTTCCAGGCTTGTATGCCACCTGGTCTGGCGAGGCAGGGCTGTAAAAGTTGCTGGAGACAGCCTGCAGACCAAAACCCCAGACAGGATCAGAGGCAGTTCTCCAGGAGGAGGCTTTCAATTCCTCCAGACCAGTTGCTCTGAGAGAAACCAAGAAATGTCATCACCTTCTCAAAAGGTTCAGATCCAGGTGCAGTTGGGGACATAGCCCTTGTGGGGTTCCAGGGATCAAAACAAATAGAAATGGGAGGTCAGCCTTGTTTGAGAGCTCCCCAAGCACCCAGATGAAATGCAGCTCAGTGGACCCTACAGTAGACACCAGCAGGCTCCTGGAGGTTGAGTTCAGATGCCTAATCCCAGGACTTCATGAGAACAATGATAAAAATGGAGCAGGCCAGCTCTGGCTTCAAGACCAAAGAAAGTTGAATACAAAATAATGAAGATTATAGAAATAAAGAATGAGGAGAAGCAGTAAGTGGAGAAAACAGGTGAGGGAAACTTAAAAACCACACAGTGGGCCCTGGCTGGTGTGCCTCAGTGAGTTAAGCACTGGCCTCCCTGGGAACCAAAAGGTCACCAGTTTGATTCCCAGTCAGGGCACACACTTGGAGGGGGACTGGGTTGCAGGCTGGGTCCCCAGTTGGGGGTGTGCAAGTGGCAACTGATTCCATGTATCTCTCACACATTGATGTTTCTCTACCCCTCTCAAAAAAAAAAAAAAATCACAGAGGAAGAGGAGAGAAAAGCCTTCAAAAGGAAAAGAGAAATGGACTGTACTGTATTTGTAAGAAACAGTTGTTAGTAAGTATAATTATTTTGGACTCTTGCATTCAGAGTTAGTCACCTGGCACATGGAAGATGGTTAATTACATATCAATATATGTAGAATAAATTGCCAGCTACATGACAGCAACGGGCCCCATTCATGAACATAGTGATCATTTAAAATACTCCCAGCAACTTTCAAGTTTTGGTGTGAGACTTAAGTCCCAGCTCTGCCACTAAGTGGCTGTACAGGCAGGCATGTCTTCCCCAACTCTTCCAGTCTTCATCTGTACAACATGAACAGCAATAACGAACTACCTGTAGGTTAACGGGCAGGCGCGGACTGTAAAGGGCCGAATTGAGGAGGCCCCAATTCTGAGATTCTGTGCTCGCTCGTCCGGCAGGAGCCCTGGAGGACCTGGAGCGCGCCCTGACGCTGAGCGGTGGGCACGGCCAAACTGCCCGCCAGAGCTTTGTGCAGCGCGGGCTACTGGCGCGTCTGCAGGACCGGAACCACGATGCCCTCAGGGACTTCCAGCGAGCAGCGCGGCTGGGCAGCCCCTTCGCGCTGCGCCAGCTGGTATTGCTCAACCCATATGCAGCGCTGTGCAATCGCATGCTGGCCGACATGATGGGGCAGCTGCGCAGCCCCCATGATGGACGCTGAGCCAGCCAACCGGCAAGGGAGGGGGAGGGCCCTGCACCAATAAAAACTGCTGACTTGCACGAATCCCGCCTGTGTCTACTCCCAGCTGGGGAAGGGGATGGGGAGGGTGGACAGCTCAGGTTGTGCGGGGAGGGGTGAGTAGCTGAGGTCCAAGCAGCCTAGCCGGGAGGGGCCCACCAGCGTGGTCAGGCATTGATTGGCCAAGCCAAGCCTAGTGCGCGCTGCTCACAGCGCACTGCAGTGCTTGCCCCGCCTGAGCAGTTGCTCCAGGCTGAGCTGCAGTAGACAGCTAGGTGAGCAGCCCCAGAAAGTGGGATGGGTGTTCTTTGCTCTCCCCGCACCGCGGGATCACCTCTTCTTCATCAGCAACCCGATGCATGGGAAAGGGGAATTAGGGTGAGAGATGCGGGGAGGGGGCAAAAGAGACGGGGTCTGGACTAGGACGGTTTCTTTGGGGGGAGGCGCATGTTGGTGGAGCATTAGCGTGTGTGTGCCTGGGCCAGGGGTGGCTGCAAATTTGCTGGTTGTTTCTTTGTATCCGTGGGGGTCTGCCTGTTTGTCCCCTGCATCCAGGGTTTGGGCTTTCGAGCTTGGCTGTTTGCTTCCTTGTCTTCACCCCTGTGGATTGGTCTACATTTGTGTTTATGTTCATGTTTTATTTTTGTTTCTGTAAAGTTAATTCCTGGAGGAATTACTAAGTAAGCCTGATCTCATCTGGCTAATGTCGAGGCCCGACCCCTTCTCTTGGCAGCTTGGGTGCTAGGCCCACACCACCATGTCACTGCCTCCACACCCAGTTACCATCCTGCACACACTGCTGCTCCTGCCAGTTCTTCTGAGCTCAGGTACTTGGCCCTGACCCGGGCAACATTCCTCTTCATCCCTTGGTCAAGCACTTTTGGGATCATGTCTCCTTCTCTCTCCTCCCTTGGGTTTGGGTACTTACGTCAGACCTTATGCAGCAGAGCTGGGTTTCCCCTCACACACCTACCCAAAGTCCGGCCAGTTCCTGGTGAGAGAACCCAGGTGCTCTGTCTCTTGGCCTTTTGCCCATCTGTAACTGGACCTCATCTTGGTTACAGAACAGTGCCAACCCTAGCCAGAACCCCCTGTTATTTTCCAGGTTGGGGAGAGTTGGCACCACAGATCAATGGTCAGACCTGGGCCAACCTGGCACTTCGGGAGAATGAACGCTACCACTTCACCTGCCGAGTGATAGGAGGGTCTGGCATCCCCCAGTTGGCCTGGTACCTGGACGGACAGCTGCAGGAGGCCAGCACCTCAAGGCTGCTGAGTGTGGGTGGGGAGGCCTTCTCTGGAGGCACCAGCACCTTCACTGTCACTGCCCAGCGGGCCCAACATGAGCTCAACTGCTCCCTGCAGGATCCAAGCAGTGGTCGGTCAGCCAACGCCTCCATCATCCTCAACGTGCAATGTGAGTGCCCCTGAGGGGGGCAGGGAGAGAGGTTCACTGCCCAGGGACCCCCAGCAGCTATCTGGCAGGTGGTCTGGTAAGACTTTTAACAGACATTTAGGTGCTTTGGAAGCATTAACTAACTTTAATCCTTACAACAATCCTACAAAGTAATTACTATTGTTATCCCCACTTTATATATGAGAATATAGGCACAGAGAAGTTAAGCAATCTGGCAAAAGTCATACAGCTGGTAAGAAGAGCCAGCATTCAGATCTGTACATTTTGACCCTAGTTTTTACACTCTTGATCATGACAAAATGCTGCCTCTCAGGTAGACATAATCACCCTATTTCCCAGTGTTCCCTTGAGGAGAGGTCCCTTCTGGGTTTGGGAAGAAAGGGCAATGAATATGAGGGGCTTTGGTGAGAGCATATTGGCCTCTGCTTTGCACCAGTTAAGCCGGAGATTGCCCAGGTCGGGGCCAAGTACCAGGAAGCTCAGGGCCAGAGCCTCCTTGTGGTTCTTTTTGCCTTGGTACATGCCAACCCACCTGCCAATGTGACCTGGATCGACCAGGATGGGCTGGTGACTGTCAACACCTCAAACTTCCTGGTTCTGGAAACCCAGAATTACCACTGGCTCACCAACCACACGGTGCAGGTACAGCTTCGCAGCCTGGCATACAACCTCTCTGTGGTAGCCACCAATGATGTGGGTGTCACCAGTACTTCACTTCCAGCCCTAGGTGAGTGTGGAATCTCAGTACAGAAAAGGGGGGGACTTGTTGCCCTTTGGATGAGGCCTGTGAATGAGTGGTCCCCAGCCACCTTGGGCAAGGAGGACAATGCCTGTGGCATCTAAGAGTTGGGGGCCCTGCTCACTTGGAACCTAACCAAAGGACCACCTGCAGGACTCCTGGCCACTCAGGTGGAAGTGCCACTACTGGGCATCATTGTGGCTGGAGGGCTATCCCTGGGCACCCTGGTAGCATTCAGCACCTTGGTGGCCTGCCTGGTCTGCAGGAAAGAAAAGAAGACCAAAGGTAAGGCCAAAGTGGTGGGGAAAGAGGGTGGCTGGGGAGTGGAGATGAGGTCAGGATGAGCAGCAGGGCAGAAAGAGTTGGGCAGAACAAGTCATCTCTGACAGGCAGCAGTACCAGTGTTCCTGGATACGGCCATGGGTAATCATGTGCATCCCAGGGCACAGGACTGGGCATCAGAGAGTCCCTTGCCTAAGAGTCCTAGGTCTAAAAGGGCAGGTGGGCAGAGCCCAGAGCAGGTGAGCACATTAAAAACTGGTGTGGTTTCTTTCTCCTTAGACCCCTCCCGGCGCCGATCTCTGATCTCTAGGTAATTGTTCCTGGGGCTAGGTGGAGGGACTGAATGGAGATGCAGCATGGGGACAGATGGGAATCTGCAATTGCTGGTAGTTCTGGAACTGGTCCAAAAGAAACCAGCTGGAGCCAGGGCATATCTCCAGGCTTTGTTCACCTTGTAGTGACTCCAACAACCTGAAAATCAACAACGTGCACCTGCTGCGGGAGAACATGTCCCTTCCATGTAACCTTCAGCTCAATGACCTCACTCCAGATTCCAGAGGTACATCCAGGACCCTCTGTTTGCCCCTGCTTTATCTTCAGAAGTTCTCTTAAGAAAAAGAGAGACCGTAGTACTTAGGAGGGGCAAGGTCCATCAGGCACACTCCTTGTCCTGGGTACCACTCACTCTGTCACCCAACAGGGAAACCAGCAGACCAGCAGATGGCTTGGAAAAACAGCCAACCAGAGCTTCCGGATTCAGGGCCTGGTGGCCTCCTTACCAGCCAAGGTACCCTCCTCCTATACTCCTCAGCCATTGTGCTTCTGCCTGTAGATCCCCAGGGGCAGAGAAGGATCTCCTAACTCCCCAGAATGAGGGTTACCAAGACTCTGGGCATCTCTGACCCTGCAGGTTTCATCCGTCTACCAATGCTGGGCTACATCTATCGAGTGTCCAGTGTCAGCAGCGATGAGATCTGGCTCTGAGCTAAGGGCAAAATGGAGGGTGCCATGGCCCCTGGGCACTCTCCCACTCCTCTGAGGCATCCTCTGTCCTGCCATGTTGCCAGTGAGAAGAAGCCTGTTCCACTTTTGTTGCACCCCTAACTGGGATGCCCTCTCTGTCATCCACGTGATGGTTCTGCTGGGATCTGACCCTCAGGGGCACAGGTGTCCTTGTCAAGAAGCCGGCTGGACCTAAACCCTTGTACTAACTCGGGTTGTGGGTCTGCATGTGATGCTCGTGCCCAAGCAGATACAGCTCTTTGCTCATGTGTTCAGATGTCATCTGGCATCTTAAGTGTGGCTTGGGCCTGCCCTGCCTCATACCAGTACTCGGCACCTTGTACAGCTGGCATGGGGTCATGCCTGGTTGTGGGACAAGGAAGGCCTTGCACGTCTTGAATTTCTTTTCCCATGTTATGTAGCCTTGTTCCCTCAGGGAAAATTCAGGACCCCACTAGCCATATAGAACCAAAATGTTCTTTGCACAGGTGACAACCCCTGTCCTGGGGGCATTGGCCAAGCACAGACTAGTCTTTTTTGCTGTATACCTCTGCTTTTTCTCTGTCCCTACCTTCTCTTGGGTATCATTGGTTATATGGTAGACCTTTTCCACTTCTTCACTGGGCACCGGACTTCCCTATTGGCCTGGTCTCTGGTGGTGCTAGTGCCTGGTGTTACCATAAATCAAGAGAAAAGAGGGAGGTGAGAAGCCTAGTGGCGTCCAGGACAGCATGTAGCTATGCATCTTCTTCGTAGTGTTTTTCTTAGTTAGCACTTTAAACACATCCCCTGGGGAGGGGTGAGTGAGGGCCTTCTCTGTGGGTTCCCCAAGTCTGGATTCCTGTGATTCAGTGAGTACCCTGAGCCCTCGGGGTCGATGGTTTCCCCCTCCACATGTCTCCCCTTCATGAGAGAGCTCAGCCCTGACTAACCCTACTGCCCCTCAGTAGGAAGCCACTCTTCCCATCCCATCCTCTGCTCTTCAGGGAATGTTTATAGTGGCACATAATTCAACAGTGCCAGAACAGTTGGGGGCCATGGAGCAAGAGAGATACTGCATACCCCAATACAGCCTAAGGACATGTTACAAAGCACCATGGAAGTGACTGCAAATTAAGTATATTTCCCCCTTGTTATCTTGTTTTGTCGTTTTTCTCATGTTACAGCCAAGCACAGTGCTGAGCACACAGTAAATTCAATAAACTTGACTGAATGAATGTTACATGTCTTTCCTTCCTTCAAATAGTTCTCTCAATGACATCTTAAGTCACACAGTATAGAAAATATAGGAAATACCTGTGTGCCCACCACTCAACTCTTGAATCTTAACACTCTATTTGCTTCAGATCTTTTTTTAAAGATTTTTATTTATTTATCTTTAGAGGGGAAGGGAAACAGAGAGGGAGAGAAATATCAATGTATGGTTGCCTCTCGTGCATTCCCTGCTGGGAAGTGGCCTGCAACCCAGGCATGTGCCCTGACTGGGAATCGAACAACGATCCATTGGTTCGAAGGCCCACGCTCAATCCACTGAGCTACACCAGCCAGGGCTGTTTTTTTTAAATAGTATTTCTCTAATTACCAGTGGCAGGGCTGGCATTTTCTGTTTCCAGAGTACCAGGCGGGGATCATAGCTATACCCAGTGACTGAGCCTACTTTGGTCACTATCACTTGATCACTTGGCAGACTCTTCCCCCCTCAGGATTGTGGCTAAGTAACACTGAACCGCTTTGCCCTGACCAGGGGTACAGAAGGTTCAGACTAGGTTGTGGTTTTCCAAAAAAAATAAAAGGGGGGGTGCTCATGAGGGGAAGAAAGACTAGAAATGAGCCTAGTTATGGGAGGCAGATTTGTAGTCTACCTTTTTTAGTGATGGCCTTGGCTTGCTGAACCATCATGGCCTTTGCTCACCTCTTTCATTCTTTTCCTCCGTGGGACTAGTGAAGGCTGCCCACCCTCTTGAGAGGAATTTAGTTCCCGCCTCTTTTGGTATTGTTTGTAAGCTCCTTCATGGTTCCAGAATGTTTAGGAGCCTGAACGCCCTGCAATCAATTCTGTTGACTCTCATCCACTGTCCCCTTCCTTGATGTTTTTTAGGCAAGGCTACAAGCCCAGGTCTTACGTTAGCACAAAGTTTTGCTCTTCTTGGCAAGTCTGCCATCCTTGCAAGTGTTTGCTAAGGGGTAGACTTTCAAATTAGTGTCCCAATTCTCCATGCACATCCCTTAGCATAGAAATTTCTTGTACCATTGTTGAGCAACTCCTTGGAGGATTTGAAGAAAGTTCACTCTTACGAGAAAATGCAGATTAAAAAAAAAAACCCCTCATTATGCAGGTCAAAGCCCATCAAATTATAATATGGGTGAAACTGAAAACACTATGCTAAAAAAGCTGAACCCAAAAGACCACATATTCTATGAGTCCATTTATATGAAATGTCCGAAACAGGAAAATCTATAGAGACAATGGGTTAGTGGATCCCAGGGACGGGAAGAGAACAATGGGGAGTGACTGCTAATGAATACAGGGTTTCTTTTAGGATGATGAAAATGTTGTGGAATTAGTGGTGATAAATGCGCAACTTTCCAAATAAACCAAAAACCGGTGAATTGTACATTTTAAAAGGGTAAGCTCTATGATATGTGAATTACATCTCAAAGTCTGGGTGGAGGGGCTGCTGCTCTGCACTCCCAGCTCTGGAGTCTCAGGCTTTGCCCCACTCTGTGCACTTTGCTGAAATTTCCAAATCCAGTGTAGCCATCATGAGGAGAGGCTCTGGCAGCACCTGGGATTTTCTCTTGAGTCCTGTTTAGCCTCCAGACAGGCTCTTCTCAACCATCTGTGAGTCCAAAGTAACTGTCTCTACCATCCATCCACCCATCCATCCATCCATCCATCTATCCAGCAAAATCGGAGTTAATACTGTTGGCAACAACGTGAAGCTGTTAGGCACCAATCCAGATTTGTCAAATGGACTTTTAAGATCCTGGGTCAGCTGAGTGAGAAAACACAACGGATGGATCACGGAGAAAGCAGAAGCCACCAATACAAGCAATTACATAGGCACCAATGAGAGCAGCTTAAGCACTTTATTTATGCTACTTAGAGGTCCTGCAAAGCTCCTCATGGACCTTCCCTCATATGGGAAAGAAGGTAATGATACACTGGTCCACTGCCCTCTGACTGCCCCAGAAGAAACCAATTACTATCCCATTATGGGGCGAGAGGGAAACTTCCTGCTTCATATTTGTCCCCAATCCCAATGCACCATCACCATCAGAAACAATGCACAAGTATCATGCCTTTGCTTGCAGTGCTCCACAGACAAAAAGGACAAGTCAGCCCTGTCAAAGAAGTTCACCCTGAAAGTGAGAGCAGCCATCAGAGCTGTGCCAGTTATATTTGTCCAAAGCAAGCTATCTTCTTGAGGAAGGGGGAGAATTTACAGTGACATGCTTGATAAAGGATGTATCCGGTTCCCTGGAATCAGTGTGGTTAAAGGAAAAGAGCCAGAGTAAATAAAGCACAGAGTAATAGCTGACATAAAGGTGACTTCAATTTTGCACATAGGAAAGGTTGACTGTCAACTTGGCAAGAGTTAATGATTCTGAGTGTTCATGTGTTACGCCAATAATACTTTTGGATCAGCAAATGTCACAACAGCCTGGGAAGTAGTAGGTAAAGGATTCATTAATATCTTTCTAATGGCAAATAATTAACAGTATTTGTAAACGATGGAAAAAATGTAGATCTGATTGTTGAATACAAGGTATGTACCCAAAGCTTAAACTCCAACAGTGGATATATGTGAACAAAACCTTCACTGATAAATGGGAAAAGTATCCCAAGTCTGAGAATGAAAGTAGCATCAGATATGTAAGTGAACTTCATCTAACCATATTAAAAGGAACCAAAGGAGACACTTACATGTTTCTGATGTCCAATTGTGATGTCTATGCTTCCATGATATTTAATGTGTCTGTGAACATAAAACCAGAAATCCTAACTCATGAGAGGCCCAAGAATGGCATGCTCCCATGTGTGGCAGAAGGGTTCCCAGAGGCCATAATAGATTGGTATCTTTGTCTAATAATAATTAAGCAGAGATGTTCATGTGCACTGGGCCAGTGGATATGCAGATACAAAACTCCTCTTTGTCACCATTTGGAAAACTAGTGTTTCAAAATTCCTTCAGTGGAGTGTAGGACTTACAACCAAGTGTGCAAGAATTCTGCCTTTTTGAATTTCACATTTATTTTATTTTTTAATATTTTGATTATGCTAATATTACCATTATCCCAATTTTCCACCGTTACTCACCATACTCAACACCCTCCACTCCCTCAGGCTATCCTCACACCATTGTCCATGTCCACAGGACATGCATATATGTTCTTTGACTACTCTATTTCCTATGCTGTACTTTACATTCCCACAACTATTCTGTAACTACCTACTTGTACTTCTTGATCCATTCATCATTTTCACCCATTACCCCGGTCCCCTCCCATCTGGCAATTATTAAAATGTTGTCTATATCTTTGATTCTGTTTATGTTTGGCTTGTTTATTTCCCCTTGTAGATTCAATCGCTGATAGATATGTATTTATTACCATTTTTGTTCATATTTTTATCTTCTTTTTCTTGAAAGAGACCCTTTAACATTTCATATAACATTGGTTTGGTGGTGACAAACTCCTTTATTTTCCTCTTGTCTAGGAAGCTCTTTATCTCTCTTTTGATTTTAAATCAGGGGCATTCTACCTGAAGCCCATGGGCCACATGCAGCCCAGAAAAGCTATGCATGTGGCCCAACACAAAATCGTAAATTTACTTAAAACTTTATGAGACTTTTTGTGATCACATGTTGCAATGTCACATAAAATAAACATACATGTGCTCTTGCTATTTGTGGCTTCAGTTTTACGGTGGTGTGCAGCAGCTTCTAGTGTGTTCTCTTCCAAGTGCAAACAGTGGAATTGACACCATCAGATGTTACATGTGCTAGTGGTGATTTAGGCAGGCAGCAATTATCAATAATATTTCAACCTACCATTGCAACATTAGGTGTTTAATGTTATTTAGAAATCAGGTAAGCATTCTTATTTGATTATTAAAGGTAATTCCACATCTCCGCAGTGCCTAACATATCACCTGCCATGCTTTACAACCGGCCCTCTGCCTCGCCCTGCATCAGCAGCTGAGAGGGCTGTGGAAGGGCCCAAACCTTGCTTTCTATTCTCCTGGCAATTAATTCTCATAATAAAACTAAATAAAATCCCTTATCTATTAATATTTTTAATTCCAATATGGCTTCTACAACATCTCAAAAGAAAAAAGAACCCCCCATAAAGAAGAATTATGGATGAAGAAAGATTGTTCAGAGAAAAGTGGACAGGTGACTACATTTTTGTGGAGGCAAATAGTAAGGCGCTCTGCTTTATTTATATGGAATTTGTGCAAGTTTTCAAAAACTATAATTTGAAAAGACATTATCTGCAAAAACATGCTGCCAAATTCAATGCATATGAAGGATCATGTGGTCAGGACAAAATAGCAGAACTGAAAAAGGTCTGTCTTCTCAACAAAAATTTTTTTTAAATGTTACAACTTGGGTGGATTCCACTGTAAAAACTAGTTATGTGGCAGCATATTTAATAGCAAAAAATCAAAACCATTTACTGATGGTGACTTTACTAAGCACTGTATAGAAAGTGTGGCAGATATAATTTGCCCTGAAAAAAAGGGGGATGTTTCTAAAATCAGTTTGTCTCACCAGACTATTATAGCCAGGTGAATTGAAGAAACTGGAAAAACCTATTGAAAAGTTTGGAGAGTAAAGATGCTAATTTAAAATTTTGTGCTTTGGTGATGGATGATGGCACTGATGCTACAGATATGGCTCAACTTGCCATTTTTATTAGAGGTATTGATGATGAATGTAGTGTCATTGAAGAAATGGCTTCTTTAGCGCCATTAAAACACACAACTAGCCCTGGCTAGTATGGCTCAGTGGATTGAGTGCTGGCCTGCGAAACAAAAGGTCACCAGTTTGATTCCCAGTCAGGGCACCTGCCTGGGTTGTGGGCCGGGTCCCCCATTGGGGGCATGCTAGAGGCAACTGGTCGATGTAGCTCTCACATATCCATGTTTCTCCATCCCTTGCCCTCCCTCTAAAACTAAATAAATAAAATCTTTAAAAAAGAAAACACATAACTAAATCAAGAGATTTATACGAAGCAGTAAAAAAATATATTAAAGCGACTTTGTCTATTGTCAACATATCTGGTATAGTTACTGATGCTGTCCCAGCAATGGGAGGTAAGAGAGGGATTTGCAAAATCAATAAAAGACACCCTGGCTGGTGTAGCTCACTCAATTGAGCACAGGCTGTGAAC